AACCATTGGGAGGTTTAGAGTCGGGGAATAAAAACGAGTACTCCACGCGTCGAAAAATTTTGTTACGAGAGAAGTTCAATTTTTTTGATATTTTTTTCCTAATTCGTCGAAATACGTAAATGCACATCTGACTTACTGTTTCCGAATTCAACCCGAATGAGATGTTATAAGGGAGGTTTTATCTTCGCGACGTTTACTCTTCGATAATTCTGGCACAACTGCGTAACGATGGATGACAGGTTCAGTTAATTCGCAGACCTGACGACAAACTGATTTTCACCACCGACGTTTTGTTCACGCTCGAACCCCTCCGCGACAGTCCCGATTCGCGGCGCATCTTTGTGCGTTCGCAATAAATGCACGCGAGATCGCCTGCATCGCTTCTCGAGGGGTGCGAGAACCGCGGTACGGATTTATGCAAACGTGAGCACGAGGCCGTTCCCAGGTGCAGGGATATGTATGTATATACGCTCTACATGTAAACCGGCTGGATATGAACGTGAGTATTAAGAGAAACGGGTGCGTGAGAGATGCGTGTTGCTATGCGATATGAAATCTATACAGCGCTGATATCGTTCACCGCCACGCCATCATTTTAAGAATTCATTAGTACTTTTCTTATCACTTCCGATGACTGAATCGGTAATAAATAACGAGTTTTTATCCGAAGTAAAATCTCTTTCTGTTATCATTTAAGCTTTTTACACATCCTATTGTATATGTATATCTTCTGTGCATACAATATTTTCATAAATGCATAAAATCTGCTGACTACTCATTAACATTATGTCGAGAGGAATTATGTCTAACATGAAATATTGTTACGATTATGTTTTTTTAGATTTAAAAATATCTCTTATATAGAGAGACGTCCTATAATTTATTGACTATACCGTTCCTTACAATATTTTAGAAGAGTACTGACACTCCTTCATTTCTCCTGCACACTGGCAGGAATATGAATAGGCATCTTTACGAGCGTATACTCGAGAAGAGGGTGCATCATCGATACAGTTTGTCTTTAGAAATTCGTTTCAACTTCGGTCGCACACCTGAGCGTAACGTCGCGTCGCGCGATGCGCGTTCATATTGGTAGGATGGTCTGGAGGGTGGTTGGAAAATGTGAAGGGCCGAGAAAAGCGGGGCTCAAAATTGCCGAGGGTGAAACTCGCGCCACGCGATACAACTGAGAATCGTCCTGCGCGTTTGAAACAAAAAGAACTGCCGAGGCGTGAACCGATTTCCGCTCCAAGCGTCCTCGCTCTGCGCGTAAGTATTATTCGTCTGATTATTATTAACCCGCGGACGTTTGCGGGCTTATATTTTCATAGAAACATGTACACAATGTATACAAAAGATGACAATCGAAAGATAAGTATTGTCCTATTGTCGCGATAATTCGATTTAAAATGTTCAAAAATTATTTTCTGTTAACGTTGAGAATTCCTTTTCATCGGAAATCGCGTCGGTGGAGCGGAGTTTCTGCAGATTGATATTCGACGATAGGGGTTCGTCGGGCGTGCGACTGCCAAGATTCCGCCTCGATCAAAAATGAAAGACTCTGTTTGCATAACAAACGACCCGCAGGAGGCCAGCGTGCCGATTATTGCATAGGGCTGCTGACAAAGGGAGCGGAATCTGCGTCAGCAAGATTTTGCGCATGCAATACTACAGGGGAGAGGTTTGCTCTTATTCAAACACCGGCGAACACAAAATAATCTTGAAAATGTGAAATTGTCCCGAAAACTCAAGGAAGTGACGCAAATAGTGATCCAGCATTCTAAAGCATTCTCACTTCGTTCCTTTTCTGTGTAATTGAAAAAATGAGATGCATCGAGTAAATTTTAAACTCCTTTGAATATTACATTTCTTTTTATTGAACGAAACGTCGTGGCTGGAAACGGAATATGTAGAATATGTTAAGTGGTTCCGGTGGGAAGCGATGATGGAATACATAACAAATTTTTATTATCGCGTGCTGCGTGCTTCGTTCTCACGGTGAATTCAATGAAATAAAGACCTCGCCAAGACACAGGATCGCGCGATCCTGAAGTTATTCAACTTATACCACTTCATTTCTCATCCACCACGTCTGACTATCTCCTCTATAATAGAGACTCCGCTGGTACAATACATTATGGTTTGTTTCGTCTGGCTCGCGTATGCATTGTGTCTCGTCCCGCTCTCTATTCACCGCGCGTACGTGCCCGCCTGGGTTCGACACCCACGATAATACAAACGTGAAATTATGCGATTTACGAGCGATCGCGACGAGATAACAAAATTTGAATACAGCGCGCACGAGGCACCGGCTGGCTAACAATATAATTAACTATTTCACAGCTGACCATTTTATTGACCACGATAATGAAAATCAATTGTTATTTTGAACAGGATATTTAAATGAATTATTCACCTGACGTGATGGTACTAATTAATTAAGACGAATGAATCGTATGGATGAGCTTGAGATGTATCTTATAATGAATATGCTACTGATAACGAATGCACCGTTGTGCTTTTATTCGCATTGCACCGAGGCAGTTAACGGTACGTTTCTTGATGTTAATACGAAATCGCGAGACGATGCGACAGAAAGGAAGAGAATGCAGAAGCCGGTGGTAAACTATTGCCGTCATGCAGGCGATAAAGAAGGTATAACCCGCGTGGCCCGAGAACCAGCGAACAACCTTCGTAATATTTTATGAAAAATCGCGATAAATTGCTATAAAACCGCGTGCGCGAATGCGCGCTGCAACGAAAAAATAGTCGAAGTGAAAGGACACCTTGAACGAGGTAACGTGCGTACGGTGCGAGATTAAATAAACGCGGTAGTAGGAAGAACTGCATAAATTCTCAGCGAGGTAGCCTGATAGTTCTAACATTCCTTATATTC